ATATATACATATATACATATATACAGCATATATACATATATACACACACACACACCCACGCTCTTTCTCTCTCTCGCTCTCTCTATATCTCTATATATGTTTGAGTTATACATAAATATACACATACACATACCCATACACACACATACATACACACATGCACCCATCCATGCATGCATGCATGGCCAACATATTATGGTGCTGGAGAAAAGAGGAGGAGAAGCCGAAAGTCGTGCCGCCGAACCGCGAGGAATTCGACGCCCAGGCGGGTCTTAGGACCAAGTCGTATCTGGTGGAGCTGGGTTAGGAGACGATACCGTGGGTTAGCCTAAGCTCCGCCGTTTCTTGGCTCGTGGGCCGGAAGAGTTCGCATAGAGCCTTGATGGTTTTCAAGTTCCGAAGATTGGAAGGTAGGCTTCGGGGCATCGAGATGAAACGTTGTTGAGACACCATATGGTTGTGGCTATCCTGCGTGGGCGGTGCTGAACCTTTTCTTTCCGTAGATTAACAGCTAAGACTCTGCCAACCCCGTTGTGTAAGCCCAACGAGGGCAGAAGGCTCAGGAACACCATTTGCAACCCCACAGCCCAAAACTCACGAAGTTTTGATCTCAAGCCGCTCCTCCGATCAGATCGAGAAGTTCAAGACGGAAATCGACAAGCTGCAAAGCAAACAGAAGGCCTTGTCCGAAAAGATTCAGGACTCCGGGTTAGGATGCGCGAGGCATCGAAGGCGCAGGGAAAGCTTAGAGAAGGGTCCTTTAGAATCTGCAGAGTTGACATTCACAATTTGCAAAATCTGGGGTGCTCAGGAGCTTGTCGGAAGCTCTAACCCGAAACCTCAAGCCCGAGACACCCTGAAACTCTAAGAGCTGAATCCTTCAGCCCCCCAAAGCCTGAGCTAGAAAACCCCTACATTCGCAGCTATCGCTGCAGGAACATTCCGGAGGAAAGGACGAGTTTTATGCCAAGAAGGCGAGGAGCATATGGGTTTATGCAGACACCAATAGCCCGAGGTTAGGGATCCCTTGCTGGTCTTTTCCTAGCAGGTGGGTTTTTAACAAGGACGTATGAGGCATGCGTAAGAGCTTATACAGATTCAAGTATACAGATTTTCAGAGTTCCTCAGATGAAGGATAGGGGATGGTTTTTAGGGAGTGCCGCTGCAGTTTGGAGTTTGGGAGTCTCTGGGATGTTCGGGCCAAGGCTGAGGGTAGACTTTCGACAGGTTCAGGGTGTGCAGGTTTCGATACCAGTTTGTTGTGTTCGGTGGAGGGTCGTTTTGTAATTTGCCATATCTCCCATGCCTGAAGTGTTCCTAAAGGGGAGTTGAAAGCTCTTGTACCTTAGAGGTCTTCCCAATTGTCGGGCATGGTTCCGAGAATGGGCGATGGGATGTCGAGTTTATGGGAGTTCTGATGTCTCGTGCCATGCAGCTCAGGCCGAGCTGCGTGCACAGCTGGACGAGCTGAGTGGCAAGATCGACGTGCTCCAGGCACCGGGCCTTAGGGGCCTTCGGCCTGAAAAATCAGAGAGGCATTTGTGCATGTGTGCATTCATGGCTTCAGGGATTTACGGTTTGAGAACTCTTTGGCTTCGATGCGCATGGCAGAGTTTGGTTGTCGGCGTTCAGGATTCCTGTGATTTTCGTTGCGAAGCTCGCGCGCGCGCGCGCGAGGCTCGGAAGGAGGAGATCAACAGGGCGGTTGGCAGCAAGCGCGACGAGGAGCCGACGTGAGGCTTGTTGAAGTTGCGGTTCTCTTTGAGGTGCTTGCGACTGCTGGACTCCTTATTATTGAACAATCGGTTCTTCCTGGCAGCCAGTGTTTCAGTTCAAATTGTCAAAGTTGTTTGTTGCCTGACGAATCCCATCGTTCCACACCGTGCTGGATGTCGTGTTTGGCTTTCATCGTGCTCGCATCATCTCTGATCTTCGTTGGGGCTGTTCGTCCTGCAGTCGATGCCGCTCGGCTGAGAAGTCTAAAGGCGACAGGGTTTGGAGAAGATTTCTCAGAGAGAGTTGCAGGCCTGTCGGTATATGGCCGTCACTGCAGAAACACGTTCGAACTGGCCCACTACAGGAGTGTACAAGGGAAGTTGTTGGAGGCCTTGGGGCAATGAGGCACGGCAGAAGATTCTAGATAGTTGGAGTTGGCCACCAATGAGTGCTACAGTGACATTGGCAATGGCAAATTCGAACTAATGCTCATCGCATCAAAGCGATGCAGGCCTGCATAGGTAAAGGCATCGTCTTCGGAGGTAGCTGCGGCGCTCGCCGCAGCTTCTTGAAGTCTCGAGTCGACAGCGATGTGGAGAAAAGGCAAAGAGAGAGTTGAATACTGTCGTCGTGTGTGGCTGTACTCAGCCTCTTAACGAGCTGCAAGCACAGTGTTCCTAGCTCATCCCCAGCCCTTCCTCCATCCTCGCAGGAGCGAGAGAAGCGAAATACCCTCAACACGATGAAGCGTCTCGGGCTGCGACGCTGCTTTCGGGCCTAGGGCTTCTGCCGTCAGAGTTTGGGGGTCGCTAAAAGCCCACAGCGCACCGAATCGCCGTCTCTGCAGCTGTAAAGCCAGATGCCAAACAGACAGGCCAACCTGAGCAAGGGAGCCCTGGACCGGGCTTGATAGTTGAGGCTGTGGGGTGACCAGTTGCAGAGTCAGGATCCCCGGCTTGTCGTTGCAAGGCTCCTGAAAGACGAAGGCATTGCGCCATGTTTCACATACCAACCTTAAGCTCTCAAGGCTCAATCCCGAATCTCTCGGCCCTCAGCCATGCTACACTGTAAAGTCCCAGAGCCCTAGAGCCTTCAATCAAAACAATTCTTCCCAGCCTTTGCCAAGGAAGTCCATTGTCTTTTCCAGCGAGGCGGACATCGATAACCGCATCGCTTCTATCGAATTTCAGTCGCTTCGGCCGCCCTTGAATCTGCGTTGAGGGTTTGCTGTTGGAAGCAAGCGGATTCGTGATGTTGTTGTTCCGATTAGTATGTGTGTTTTTGGGCCCTTGTCTGTTGTCTTGGTTTTGTGCTTCAGCGCCTGGCGCGAGATGTTGTTCCAGGTATGCGGAGGCTCAAGGTTCTAGCAAAGACATTGCACCCAACCTTTGTCTGCAGACCTTTAGATGTTCTAAATGCTTCTTTTGCCACAAATTCCGGGCCCAGGCTTTGCACCGAGTCGGTTCCTCTCAAGGCTTGGAGTGCTTCTTGGAGCTTTGAGGGGGCATCAAGGTGTGGAAGGCCTTCAAGGCTTCGAAGGCACAATTTGGAATCTTCAGCGTACGGAAGAACCCAGCTGGCGCTTTGGGAACCCTCCTAAGTCCTGCCACCTTCAGGCACAGGTTTTGTCGAAAACAGTAGCCAAGCAGCGCCGAACCCTGGGAAGCCCGAAATTGGAAGTCATGTTCCTTGCGTCACCTCCCGTAAGCACGAAGCCCGTGAAGGCCAGCCCTCACCACCTCCTCGAACTTTGAAGCCTTCCGACAGTGAAGGAGGAGAAGAAGCTCCTGGCCGAGATTCAGCAGCTCAAGAAGAACCGATCTAAGGCCTGTGCATTTGGTGACTTTGGGCGGTTTTGAGGTTTTTGACTTGTTTTTTGGGGTTGGGTCGTTTTGGAGTTTGGGGTTTGCGGGCTGTGGCGCTTGGCTTGGACTTGAGCTTTGGGGTTTGCAGCGTTGAGTTGGAAGTTTTCAATATCCGAATTTCTCGAGCTGGCAGTTTACATAGAGTGGCAATAGCCGAGTTGCTTCTTCCTGGAGCTTGCTTTGGCTCTTGAGTTCACGGTTGCATAAGATTTTAAGGTTCAGGGTTCAGGGGTGGATCCTTCACTTTCCACAGGTCTAACTGTGTCAGCAGATAGTTAGGACTCAGAGTTCATGGCTACCAATACGGCTCACCTCTTGAGCACAAAAGCCCACAAGCAGTTCTACGGCTGAAAATCCAAGCCATAGGACTCTGAGCCCTCCTCTTCTAATGCCCGAAACCAAAGCTGAACAGTTTTGAACCAAGACCTCTAGGCTCGCATCTCCAGCCTTCTTCAACACCCAAGCCTTGACCGTTTTCACAGAGACGAACTCACTTTGGTGAAGGCACCCGAAAACACTTTAAAGGGACCTTTTCAACTCTCAGCCCTAACCTTAAACTGCGACGGGGCTTCCTCAGGTCAGTCACATGCAGCAGATGGAACAGAGCCTTGGCGATCTAAAGTGCGAAGGTCGACTGTGGGCCCCGGAATTTCTTCGTTTCAGCAATGAGCGTGCTTGGGTACGTTAGTTTGGGCTTCGGAGGCTCAGGTTGTGAAGCATGTTGAGAAGGAATGCCGGTGACACAAGTGACGTTTTCCAAGCTGGTCTCTTGCTAAGGGGCTTGGTTGAAGGTACGGTGAGACGTGGTTGATGTCCGGTTGATGGGGTTTCATGCGGCTTTCTAGGGTGGTGAGACAATGAATGTTCTCCGACAATCGCAACTCAAAGCACGGCCCCCGGCCAGGAGCCAGCTTGGCTTTCAAAAAATTTCCCCTCATGTGGTTTATGTGGGTGCCAGGGCTAGCGTTCATTTGTCGGGCTTGGTTGGGGATCCGATCCGAGGTCTGCCGAGAGTTTCTCAGACGGTTGAAGGGTCAGGGCCTGTGGTCATTTTGGGAGCGGGGGCTTGAGGGCCGGGTTTAGGGACAGGGGTAGAACTTTAGGAGAATGACCCAGGGTTTAGGTTGTCTGCTTACGATTTTTGGGCGCAAGGGTCGAAGGGTTTAGGGTTTGGAGACAGGGGTAGAACTTTAGGAGAATGACTGAGGCTGAAGGTTTACGTTGCAAGACTCAGGGTTTAGTGTCCAGGGTTCGAGATGTCCGCGCAGCTTTTGTCAGCCTAGGAACCCTTCCACGGTTGACCCGACGATGTCCATGAAGGAGCAGAAGGCTGGAGTGGGGTTAGGAGTCCTGCGTAAACCCCTCTACCGCACACTTGGGTTCTCGTCAAGGAGCTTGGTTTTCGCTACCGGGATGGGGATGCAGGATCCCAAGGCCCCAAGACTGTGAAACCGGTCAGCTCCGAGCTAGACCAGCAATCCCCAGAGCCGAGTTCCTCTCTAGACCTGCTCGCTGTGCTTCTCGTGCCGGCTTTCTGTTCAACAAGTAGGAGCCAGTCAAGTCCCTCAACCCTAGGCCCACAAAGATCTATCTTTCGACATGGCAGTTTCAGAAAATGTCCAGAAACTTTTCAGGGGCCGGTAAAGCAAATCCTGCAAATCCTAGGACCAAACTCATCAAGACCCCTGAGAAGGCTCCCCAAACTTTAAGAAATCCCCGGCGAAAACCAGCAACGGCTTTCAGGATGTTATCAACGAGGAGATGAACAGGTACCGCGACGAGAAGCGTAAGATTCAGGACTCAGCTCAACAGCTCTCGTCTTGAGACTTCTGCTTAGAACCCCCGAGTCCTCCACTCTTGAACCCGAAACCCTCGAAATCCGAAACCCGTACCCGCACAGTCCCTTACGCGTCACGTAGGTTTTTTCTTCCTTCTTGGGCAAAGGGTCGTCTTTGGATGGTTACGGCAAAAGAGGGTGGAGGGGGGCCGAAGTCGTGTTTAGAAGTTTAGGGTTCAGGAAGCAGGCGTGCCTCCCTCCAAAAAAGCTGTGGTTTCGGGTCACATCCCAACCCTTGACGGTCAAAAGATCTTGGGCGCCAGGGTCAGGATGTGTTGGGAATGATCTCTATTTCTATTTCTTCATTTGAGAACGGGTCGGTGGAAATAACTTGGAGCTACACTTCCGAATCACCTTGCAGCAGAGAGAGTGACTGTTGCTGTTCTTCTTCTTGTTCTGACCATCATAGTCATCATCCTCATCCTCATGCTCATCATAACCATCGGCACCATCGCCAATTCCCCGCTCTTTGAAGATTCCTTCTGCAGACACCTTTTTCTGCTGGCTCATGTTTCGGAACCGTCACTGCTCCATGCGTGACTGCGCCGTCAGCATGGATGGTTGTTCTCAGGCCGCGTTGTTGCTTATGTTTTTGGCGAAGGATCAGATGACCGAACTCTCCGAGGCACGCAAGCAGCAGCTGGGGCCTATCGAGGCCCTCAGGGATTGGTTTCCAGCATGTTTTCAAGCTTCGCTGCATGGCCCCAATAGTACTTGTGGTTTGACAAGTTTTTGGGTAGCATCATGTATATAGATAGTCCTTTTCTCGTCATTTACAGATGTGGCTCTTGGTGCACGGCTGGTGTGTGGGGACTTGGGCGTTGATGATGGTTGCTCAGGGTCTATTCGTTCCTTGTCCGTTCTTCGGGCTAGCTACCGGAAGCTACTGAACAGGTTTGTGTTGTCTGTGTTGTTGGTCTGCTTCGGAGCTTTTGCGTGGGATGGGAGGGTTGACTGTGTCTTCCTTGCGGTTTCCCAGGACCGTTCGTGGCAGCGCAGCGGGGGGGGGGGGGGGGGG